TTTTTTTTTAGTAAAGACGGAGTTTCACCATGTTGGCAAGGACGATCTCTATCACTTGACCTTGTTATCTGCCCGCCGTAGCCTCCCAAAGTGCTGGGATTACAGGCCTGAGCCACCGCGCCTGGCCCTCACATTATTCATTGTTTATTTGAAATTCACATTTAGCTGGGTGACCTGCGTTTTATCTGGCATTCGGCCAACCCCTGACCATCCTGAGTAGCCCAGTCTGTTAGACTGAAAGAAAGCCTACAGCGGGTAGCGGCCAGGGGCCAGGTCTGGTTCTCAGTGCGAGCACACAATAGGCACTTGCTGTATACTTGTTACAGATGAAACAACTAGAGAACGGCAGATGGAATATGTCATCGTTTGTTCCTATTTTACAGCTTAAAATATTAAAGCCTCGGCCGGGTGCTGTGGCTCTCACGCCTGTAATCCCAGCACGTTGGGAGGCTGAGGTGAGTGAATCACCTGAGATCAGGAGTTTGAGACAAGCCTGGCCAACGTGGCGAAACCCTGTCTTTACTAAAAGTATAAAAAATTAGGCAAGCATGCTGGCACACGCCTGTAATCCCAGCTACTAGGGAGGCTGAGGCAGGAGAATCTCTTGAACCCGGGAGGCGGAGGTTGCAAGAGCCGAGACCGTGCCACTGCACTCCAGCCTGGTGACAGAGCGAGACTCCGTCTCAAAAGAAAAAAAAAAGTGAGATTCCCGTCTCTAACAAATATATATATATATATATTTATGCACACAAAAAAATTAGCTGGGCGTGGTGGCTCAAGCCTGTGGTCCCAGCTATTCGGGAGGCTGAGACGGGCGGATCCCTTGAGCCCAAGAGTTGGAGATTGCGAGAGCCATGATCGCGCCTCTGCACTCCAACCTGGGCAACGGAGTGAGACTGTTTCAAAAATAAAATAAAATAATAACGTAAATAAAAATATTGAGCAAGGCGAGGTTAGGGAGGGTTAGAATGCTATTCTGTCCGACAGATTTTTCTTAACACGCAAGTGCGCCGCCCGCCCGCTCTGATCCAGAACCAGAGAATCGGCCGTGCGAAAGCGCTCCCAGAGACCCCGCCCAACCAGTGCCTGGAATTCCACCATCAGCGCTTTATTCCGCGGTTCAGTGCTGTCCTGGGTTAACCCGAAAGCAATCTCCGAGGCTTCCCTTTCTGGCTTTCTGGGAGCCAGAGACTGACCGGACACTTGGCTCTGCAGGTGCAGACTGGGCCAGAGAGAGAGAGAGAGGGCCAAGCCAGTCCACAGTGGAGAGAGGGCTGTGCTGGGGGCTCCAGGAAGACTTCCTGGAGGAGGGGATCTTGGAGCTAGGCCTTGTAGATGAGTTTGTCAAATGAGGAAGGGCATCCGAATCCGAGGGAACGGCAAGAGGCAATGCTGGGGAGGGGCGAGAATCTGGAGAGTCCCGGGAAAAGCAAGTAGGAATCTTTCCAGAAGTTTGGGCAGGATTTTCCCTGGGCCAGGTCGTGGGTTCTCCAGTACTCATCCCTCCTGGTCACTGAGATGCTCTGAGCTTCCGGTCTGGACCTGGACGGAAAGAGGTGTAGTCCCTCCTTTCTTGAACGGGAAAACTAAGCTCACATAGGTCCTTGCCAAGCCTAGGGCTGCAGAGTGAGCAGATGGAAAATGCGGGACTCAAAACCTCACCTCGCTGTAATTTGCACCGCCCGGTGCCAAGCTCTGTCCTTTCTTCCATTCCTCGTTCCTATTGTCAGCCTCGCTGCGCTAGGACCCTAAAAATTCGGTCTCATGTTGCCCAGGGAACAGCATTTCGCTACACCCACCTCCATGGAGCCCCCGCCCTCTCTCTCTTGCGCCAGCCAGTGGAAGCGAAGATCTTCAGACTGTGGGCGGGATGTATCCTAAGGCACCCAATGATGGCCGAGAATCATTGAGCACTTTACTAGGGGTGCCGCGGAGTGGGCGGGGCGTCCTGCCCAGACTTGAAGCCACACAGGCGGGTCGGGCAGGCGGGGTCGCAAGTTGTAAATCCATGTGGCGGGGGCTTTGGACCCTGGCGGCCCAAGCGGCACGTGGGCCTCGCAGGTGGGGCTACGGAGGAAGGGTGTGACAGATTGGGGTGCTGCTTGGACCCCAAATCCACTCCGTGGGTTTTAGGGGCCCAATTCCCTTCGGCAGAGGACTCATTCTCGTTCTTCCCTGCCTAAATCGTCCATCCCCCTGCCGCAGAGCCCACATCTGGCCTCAGAGTCCCTAATCCGGTCACCCATCGGCCTTCAGAACCTCCAATTTGTGCATCCCCCAGCCGCAGTACACCCCCCCCAACCTGAGGCATCTCGCGATCATTGAGCCCTTGGTCTACTTGACACTGAGGCTGAGGCTCCCAGATGCGCTGATTCGCCTCCCCTCCGGTTCCAGACTGTGTACGCGCAGGAGCAGCGGCGCACTAGCCCCCGGCTCTGGAGCCACCATCTTCGCGCTAAGCTCCGGCCAAGGCCGCTGCGGCGTCGCTGTGATCCGGACCAGCGGCCCCGCCAGCAGCCAAGCCCTCCGGATTCTCACGGCACCCCGGGACCTGCCCCCGGCTCGCCACGCCAGCCTGCGCTTGCTCAGCGACCCCCGCTCTGGGGAGCCTCTGGACCGCGCACTGGTGCTCTGGTTCCCAGGTGAGGGTCCCCAGGTTCCGAGCCTCCTGTAGATCCCATCACCCAATTTCCCCCTTCAAGGAGTTTGCACTGCCTGTACTGTCCTCCTGACTGTCAGCTCTCTGCCACATTAGGTCCTAAGAGTTTCACCGGTGAGGACTGCGTGGAGTTCCACGTGCATGGAGGCCCGGCAGTGGTGAGCGGTGTCCTGCAGGCCTTGGGTGAGTTGCAGCCTTGGGTGAGATGCTTGGTCCTCCCAATGGGCCTGTGTGGGGACCGGGGGGGGGGTCTCAGACTGGGACCTTTCTGCAGGCAGTGTGCCAGGGCTTCGACCTGCGGAGGCTGGCGAGTTCACAAGGCGGGCGTTCGCCCATGGGAAGCTGAACCTGACCGAAGTGGAGGGCCTGGCAGATCTGATCCACGCAGAAACCGAGGCGCAGCGGCGGCAGGCCCTGAGGCAGCTGGACGGGGAGTTGGGCCACCTCTGCCGTGGTTGGGCCGAGACCCTCACCAAAGCAAGTACCCCATTTGTCCATTCCCTCCCTCCGAGACCCAGTCTGTGCAACCCCTGCATGAGACTCCCTCAATCCCCCATTCATTCCCTTCGTGAAAGCTTCGGCCTATGAGCCGACAATCTGGTCCCTGAAGTCAGGCTGGACCTGGACAAATTGGGTGTTGGACGGTGGGTTTCTGGGTGCACACACCACCTGTGGTCTCCCTGCCCCGCCAGGCTCTGGCCCACGTGGAGGCCTATATCGATTTCGGCGAGGATGACAACCTGGAAGAAGGTGTCCTGGAGCAAGGTGGGTACCTGGGGGTGGGGAAGGAAGACGCCTCGTGTTTCACACCCAAAGGCTCCCCTCACCGTCTTCCTTCTGCCTGCCTTCCCTCACCCACAGCGGACATCGAAGTACGGGCACTGCAGGTGGCCCTGGGTGCACATCTACGAGATGCCAGGCGCGGGCAGAGGCTGCGCTCAGGGGCGCACGTAGTGGTCACTGGACCCCCCAATGCCGGGAAGAGCAGCCTAGTGAACCTGCTCAGTGAGTAGGAGGTGGACAAGGGCGGGGCCTAGTGCCAGGGGTGGGGCCAAGAGCGGAGTAATTGAATTCTTCAGGTCTGAAGGGGGGTAGAACCTGGGGGAGGAGCTCCCTTGTCTCGACCCTTTCCTCTTCCTCTGACCCTCTCCCAGGTCGGAAACCTGTGTCCATCGTATCCCCGGAGCCAGGGACCACCCGTGACGTGCTGGAGACCCCAGTCGACCTGGCTGGATTTCCTGTGCTGCTGAGCGACACTGCTGGGTTGCGGGAGGGCGTGGGTCCGGTGGAGCAGGAGGGTGTGCGGCGTGCCCGGGAGAGGTGGGCAGGCAGGGTGTTGATGGCAGGGGAATGCGGGGCCTTTCCTCTGCCTTTTCTGCCTGTTGCGTTTATTTTTTCATTCTTCCTGAATCAGAGAAGCTGCTAAACTCTTGCAAGCAGGGATCTCAGTGATTTGGTTTTTTCTTTTCTTTTTTTTTTTT